TGAAAAAGAATATTTATGGGGGGCTGGTTGGTGGTGGTGGAGTTTTGCTGCGATGACACAACGATGGATTGGTTGTGTCACTTCTTCTTTCTCTTTCTTTTTATTCTCATATATACTTTTAGTTTTAACTAAATTAGAGGTTCGTTGCTGCAGTTGTTTTTCGGGATTCCACACTTCGTCAAGCTACAAACATGAACAAAATCATATTATTTCAGAAACGTGTAATCTTGCTCGCAATCTTTTAGAATATCTATTCCGTGATTGCTGTGTCAACTAACAACTCTCATTTTGTTAACTCTATTTTGAAACAAGCGCATTTCTCTCCTAAAACACAAGAAAATATTAACCTCATGAGCGTCCTCGATGATGTTTGTAGCTTTTTGCCAAAATAGATCTTCCGAGGGGTCCGGGAACGCTTGCGTGGTAGTCATTGTCATCAAGTCTCTTGATGTTATTGTATTTATATCTGCAGTAACAAAGCCTTGGCCTATTGCTGCTATACTGGTCATATTCTTTTGTAACTAAAATATCAAGAAAGATATAAGAATCGGTGCGCACAAATACTCATAACAATCCTTTAATTTTTAATTTTGCACAAAGATATATTTGATTGACTTGATTGATTCGGGTCAAAATCCCCAATTCCGCTACCGGTGAAAAAAAAGGGACGGATCGTGTAATTCCGATCTGTTCGGTACTCCTATACTCCGATACTCCGAAAAGCGAAATGATAACATGTGCACACGATCTTTATGAAAAATGAATAAAAAATTTATTCGATAAAATCATTTATTCGTCGAAGAATGAGTTTTTTATTACCGTTAATATCTCGGAACAATAATTATGGTAATAATAGTAATAGCCATAATATTAATAATGTTAATAGAAATAATAACAGTAGCAATAATAGTATTAGTGAAAATAATCACGATTCAGCAATAGAACCATCAGAATATGAAACTTATGACGATGAAGAAGAGCAGGATGATGAAACTTTATTAGATAGTGCACGTAGAAAATTTGAAAAAGAATATTTATGGGGGGCTGGTTGGTGGTGGTGGAGTTTTGCTGCGATGACACAACGATGGATTGGTTGTG